ACACGCGGCTGCAAAGTGCCCCAGTGCACACTGGAGGTCCTGGATTGATGGAGCCAACAGGATGGCCTTTTGGCTAAAATCAAGTGAAGCAGCTACCGTTACTGCACATTTCCATAGATGTTACACTCCACTTACCCTCCAATCACATGCATGGCCAGACCCTGTAAATGGGAAGTGTAATAGGCCAATGCTGGGCCTGTAAATCCACAACCACACTCACGCACACACATACTGTATATACACAGTTTACTAGCAGGGACCTGCCCTCGCTAAATGTGTGGGAAATGGAATGCGTCTAACACACGAGAGTGGATTGGCTTCTTTGATATCTTGTAGATATGACCCCTAAATCCCACTGGAGACTCAGCCTCAGTGAAGAGATTAATGTCGGCTGGAACAGAGAAACAACTGGCTGAGACAACTGGAATAATGGAGGAGGAACTAGGTGGGGGTGCGTCACCCAATGATGTGGTGCTGGGGAAGCCCACAAGACCACTCGATGGAGCCAGAGGTGACAACTCGGTGCCTGGACAGGGGGCACAGCGTGCTGCCCGAGGGATAGGACAGAATACGTGAGGATAAACAGCATCTCGTTGCCAGGTACCCCAGGTCTCAATGAGAAAAGAAAGGAGGAAACGAGAGCTGAGCAAGGATGTGGGGCAGCCTCCTGTGTGACGAATGCCATAAAGCTCCACAAAGGGTGAAGTAGGATCAGCAGCATTAGCTTAAAAAATGTTGAGATAATCCTGCAATGGAGAATAAAACAACTCATTGTTGGATGGGAAAATGTTTGACCAATCCATGGTGAGTAACCAGCTGTCTAACAAAAAGTGGAAGCAAAAGTGTGAAGATTTGGAGAGTTTAAATAGTGTGGGAACGGAAATGGTGTAGCCCAATCAGGTCCTGCCACCTGACTTAAGGTAATTATAATATCCTCATTATATTCGCCTTCTAATATGTACTCTTTCTCTACTTTTGTACACAAAGTAAAAATACCAGCAAGAACTTTTACAAACAGATACAATTTTTTGTTACATTACAATACCTCCACTGCCTGCATTTATTTTCTAAGTTCACAGTTAGATTACTCTAACCCCTAACCTGCAGGGTAACAGGGCAATCTGAACTCAAGTCTTAACAGTGTAACTGCCCTCAAAAACCATGAAAGGCAAAATGCTTTCATTTATTAGCTTTTCAGCCAAAACCATTTTAATCCTAACATGTATGGACAAAGGCAGAAACCACACATGCAGAAATATAAATGATATATGAAAGCAGACATGGGGAAAAGAGCCACCCGGACATTAAAATGAATAAAACAGGTGTACCGTCTGCATGTTGCCGATTCAGTATTAGACAGAACATCTCTTGATTTCAGCGCAGTAAAAGCTTTGGTTTATAAAAGTGGTTCACATCAGGTCACAGCTGTTTGGTCTCTGTTTTTATGTCATTAGTGCCATTAGTCTTGACCTGCTAAAACACAAAATGTAAACATCTTTACACTCAAGCATAACCTTTATGTTAGGAAAACGGCTTTTAATGTTAAATAGTGTAGAAGTACATACAGTATCATGCATGGTAGAGAGACAATTAAATAAGACATAAATACGTATTTAAATTAGGCTGTCAGAGACTCCAAACCAGCACACATCTTTACAGTACAATGAAAGGACATTTCACAAATTTTAGCCTAAATTCTGTATTGAGTGTTGTCATTAAATCCATTGAACTGTGGAAGTTCATAATTATTACTGTGCTGTGCTGGACTGCTGACAAGATCCTGAACACCACAGTCACGTGTAAATGTTTCAACTCAGTGTCTTCTTTACCTTTCCACTAGTGAGAGAATCTCCTGCCTGTTTGATGTAGCTGTAGAGGTCAGAGCATGTGCAGGCATCTAATCATTACTGCGCCAGCAGTCAGGGGAAACAGCTAATTGTTGAATTCATCTGTTGTAGTTCAGCAAGCCTGACACCCAGTTTTACAAAAAGTATCACAATACTGCTGAGTGCTTGGGTCTTTTTCAAATGATAAATTGATCAGGTGTAATTATACACAGTACACACTGTAAAACACAACCAGTGACTATTAAGGCAGAACAAGTGTTTTAGATAAAAGTAAAAAAAAAAGTATTAAGAAACTGCACTGAATGCAAGTAGCTATTGAGTGAACATCATAAAAGTATGTTAAAAATATAATAAATGTCAGATGGAATACTGCTATAAGATTAAGTTCACAATCATAGCTGCAACAGTTGCAGTATAAATGTTTTCTGATGACAGTAATTCAGGACCTAGAAAGAGAGAAGCTGAACAACCATAACAACAGAAATAAAATGTGTCTGCTTTGTTTATTTGTCTTCATAGAACAGAACAGACAACAACAAAGTCTTAAAGAGCTGTTGAGACTGTGAAGGTATATCACACCATGCTGAATGTTTTTTGGAGGGACACGCTGTATTTACCTGCATACATTCTTTGTTTGTTTGGCTGTTTTAAAGTACCTTAGACTTTGTGATTTAGATTTTGTGTCGCCTACTTTATATTTCATTTATATTGTGTGGCATTCGTGTGGACACCAAAGTAAGAATTTCATTGTACAGGGAAACACGTTTCCTCACTGTGCATATGACAATAAACACTTGACTTGACTAAAATGTTGCTTAAATCATTTAGATCTCACTTTACTGACAGTGGTGATTCAAAACAGATAACTTTAGCTGACTTGTAGTGGACCCAGAGACCCTGTCGATGAGAGTGACAGACTGAAAAATGACTCTGCACCCTGATCTCAGCTCTCGGTTTGGGAGCCAACACTAGCTACAGTAGCAGCTGTTAGCAGATGACACAAACACTGCAGATTAATCGATTTCTGTCCTCTCTGTACTCAAACTGAACACTAAAATGGACCCTTGGATGTAGTTTAAGCATTGGCTGTATGGGAAAGAAAAAAAAAAAAAGATTTTGCAAATATTGTAGTTTATATATCTGTGTGATTGTCCAAATATGGTGCATTTACCACAAATTCAACATGGTCTGACATCAACTTCACATCCTCTATTTTTACAAAATTATGGCAAGATAAAAAAAAAGTTATAGAAACAGGAAACTGCCAACTGCACACTGTCCTCCCCATATGTTTCTTTTCAGCTTAGTAATACATCAGAAGCAATATTTTGAGAGAAAGTGGAGTCTAATACCAAGTCCTACAATCCTAACATTAATAAACTAACTTTGTTTGAATAAAACATGTGCTTAAGTGTGCTGTACAAACTAAGGAAAAATGTGTGGTCTTTTAAGATATTCAGTTCATACTGATGAATTGTGGGAAAACATCAGTTCCTATAAACTGCAAATACAGCCTTCACAGGATGCTTATAGTACCTTATTGTTTCAATCTTTGCCCTCTAAGAGGCTAAAGTATATATCTTGAAGGTCACAAAAAAGGTCATCAGCTTTATTGATGTTAGTGTTGCTTTCTGAAAAAAATTACCTTGAATAGATATACCACCCTCTATACTGTACTATATATACAGTACAGGGTGCAGGGATTTCTGTGAGGTAATTCACTCTGTTTCTACCAGCTACCGGACATCCTCGCTTCTTTGGCTTGTACTGTACTTGGCTACTTGCTGACTGTTACTAAATGTATATAGCCATCTTTAATAAGCACAGATATTGTGTGCACAGATTATAATTGAAAACTGATGATCACAGTACAACTGTAGATAAACAGATCAATATCAGCTTGGATTTCTTATGTATACTGACTATAGATTAAAGATGCAGGATTAAATAAACATGATGTATTTAATCTCATGCCTTTAACTACAGGCACATTATAAGTGCATTGTTTTCAGTGTTTAATGAGTGAACTACAATGTAGCAGTCACTTCCACAGCTCTCCACTGGACCTTCAAGACAAGGCCAGAGGAAGTTACTTATCTTTATTATTTTAAAAGCTGAAACATTCATTGGTTTCTGATGTAATACATTGTGTCTTTTTTCTGATTTTCATCATTATAACTGAAGATCTTTTGGTTTTTAACTGTTAGGCAGACAAAAAAAAATCACCTCAAAGGTGTTACTTTGGGCACAGAAAAGCAAATGATACATGGATATTTTTCTTTTATTTTTTAAACTTAAAAACATGGTTACTACTAAAGTAAATGAAAAATTATTCTATATATTTACTGCCAGATTTGTGAAGCTGAGTTGCCTAAGGATTCCCAAGGAAGAGACTAATGAAGATCGACTGTAACCAGTGCATATGTTCCAAAAGGTGGTCCAGTATGCAAAAGCCTCTGTGATATATCCAATTAAGTGTCATGAGAAAGGATTTTGATCTCTGGATGGTGTTTAATGGAGAGTTCAACCCACAGCAGTAAAAATAAATCAATGTGCCTTTAATCCGTTGAACCATCAACAGTCGTCTCATGGTAGCTTCCAGTTTCAGTTAGACGAGCTTATGCATTCAGTGTGACGGGTGAGTGGGATTTCAGTTTATATAAGAGACTGTGTGTCTGTGAGTGTGATGTAGACAGCGTCTAAGCCTGTGTGCTTCATTAGTTTCATATGCCTCTAAGAAATATATTTTAAAGACAGTTATGTCACACATGAACATTTTATAGCTGAAAGTTCAGAACAGGGCAAGACACAGACCAGTTAAATACAGTGTGATAAGGCCATAAATCCAGTGATTTCATTGTGTGACATGTGACCACCTAAGAAAAAGTAATGGAAAGAAAATGTAGCTGCATTTGACAAATTTGCTATTTTGTAGCATAAAGATGCAAAGCATGCAAATAGAATGTTCCTATAACTCAAATTTGCATGTAGCATGTATTTTCTACATGAAAAACTAGCCTAGCTTGATGCTACATGAAATGGTTAACACAGTGATATGAGCCAATACAAACTGTTCAAAGAGTCAACGAGGCTGCAAAAAGCGACAGGGTGTGCTATCGGTAATGTCAATCCACAGCATGCATATGTATAAATCTGAGATTTGTGAAGTTTTGGAGCCTTTCTCAATAAAGATTGGCTTACATGTTGTGATGAAATCGAAGCAGTGGTTGTCAGTAATAGCAGTATAAGTTTACATGGGCAAAGTTGATAGAGGAGGGCATCCTTGGTAATCAAGATATAAAAATGAATCCTCGGAGTACATCTGACACATTGTCTCTTGTCTCCTACCAGTCTCTTACCAATGCCAACATCATTTCATCAACATCAGCCTGCTCAGTTCAGTAGCAGTCCATTTTTTGCCATCTTCCCAGACATCTAAACACTTCCTTTTTGGGCCACAGTCAAAACCAATCCCTTACATGTACAATTCCTGCCACTGACAGTGATTTCACAAAATCCAGTCTGTTAGGTGTGATGGTCGGCCAAAGCAGAAAAACTTTTCTCATCTACCTCATATCTGCAAATCCAAACACCAAAAGTTTAACTACTGGGAGTTGATGCTAGTCTTAATAGTACCCCATTCATCTTGTCCTGCACTGTAATCTTTGTCCCTTTATCCTCTTTCTTTTATCCCTCCTCTTTTGCTTCTCCATTATTCCTTCCTTGCCATCACATCCCGCGGCATCCGGTTGCGCTCGCCGGAATTCTTGCTACGAACTTTCCTGGTGCTCTCCTGCGCCTGGCGGTATTTCTCCAGCATGCTCTTGTGTTTCCTCCTCAGCTTGTCATTGCACCACATCCTCTCACAGTACTCCTCCACATGCGGCAAGTTCGACGGCCCAATCAGCTGCATGATATCCTTGTACCATGTGCGTGGTTGGCCTATTTGGCCTGATGAGCCACTCCTGCTGTAAGCACTACAAGGCATCCAGACCCTGTAGCTTCCTGTAGACCGGTCTTTGAATGATTCAGAGAAGCCAGCGTTGTCACGTGCCATGAGCTCGTCCACGGTCTCCCCTTGAAAGACTTCAAGGGTGAAACGGACCAGATTCTGTGTGAAGCCATGCTCTCTAGAGTGACAGATATACACACCTTCATCCTGGCGGAAGAGACGACGAAACAGAAGCCCCTGCTCTGTGGCCATCACACGATCATCTAGCTTCACCTAAGGAATGCAGAGAGAGAATGTGTCTAACTTATAACATATATTACAGAACAACACACTGTATTAAGATTTTGCATCACTGATGCAGGGGGGAAAGGGTGCAGGGACTGAAAAGAGGGATGTGGGGGGATGCTGATGGACATGCATGAGTGAAACACACTGAAAACTCAGACTCAACATGTTTAACCACTCACTTGAACTTTACCATAAAAACAACATGTAGCTTTGTTTTAAATTAAGCATATGTCTGGTTTAAATTGAAATGTGATTTTCTGGTCACACCACAGCAATGCAATACAAAGGGGGAAAAAGCACAGAATTGTGTTTTATACTTAAAATCAACAACAAATTTTAAATTGACTAAGCAATGCAAACAAAATTGTGAGCCAAGTAAAGTTCAAACTAAATTAATTAATTTGATGCTTACTTACACATTGTGATGTATAAATGACTGCATGTGTAGTTAGGAAATTTGCTCCTTTAGTGTATATACAGTAAATGGTCCAAAGCCTTTGATTATACTTTACATGCAAAGATTATAAATCCACTATATGTACAGTAAAATTTTAAAATTCTTTGCCTTCCCTTTTCTCTCATTCTCCTTCTTCTTACCAAAATCCACCCCAGCTTTCTTTACTCCTCTACTCTAGGTATTTGTACCTCTCCATTTCCTTTCGTTTCTACCTAGCTCATTTATTCCACACCTAGGCTTCCACGTAACCATCTTTTGGTGCCAACAGAAGTATGGCAGCCTCATCAGCTAGAGTAACAGCCAAATGTTTATTTACAGGGAAATGGAGAGGGGTGGTAATACTTTAATACTTGCATGGCTGACTGAGGCCCTCAGCTATGCCTGGAGAAACATAAACTCAAACAGATGAAAAATGACTGCATGTGGTCACACAGGACAATATAATCTTAAAAGTGGCACTTTAGTTTTTAGTGGCATGTGGCCTAAGGTTAGCAAAGAATTTAGTGTTTATCAAAGGGTACGAGGGTGGCTGGGCATTTTCCTTTGAAATACAACAGTTTAATTTCAACCATATGTCAAATGGCTGTCAAATGTGTCAACCAAATGCCAAACTCACACACAAACCTCACCTTTAAAGGCAGTTACTGAGGCCACTGTTTGCCAGAAGACTCATCCCATCGACCCCAAAATTGTACAAGTATTAGAATAAGAAAGTACTTTGTAACCGTGATCTAGGTTTTGATCTGATAGCTATTTTGCTTACTTCTTCCTTGTGGTCGTTGTGTTGGACAAGCCAGGTCACAGTAGCTTGGGGAGAGCGAGGAACACACTCCAGGAAGGTACTGTTGTTCTCGGTCCCATACACCATCCTGTCCTCTGTCATATCAAGGTCTTCTGGTTGAAAGAGAGCAAAGTAGAAAGATTGTGAAAGAATGAAAATGAAAACTCATTCTGCCACAGCAGAGGATGAAACCTCCATTAGGGATTAGAGTCTTCTTACAGACACCAGTCAGTAGCTAGTACTATCAAAGTACTCGAATAACACAATGAACCATGTGAATACTGAGTGCATTTATGTCTGTCAGTTTGTTATAGATAAGTAAAGTGTTTTCTAATAGTTTTAATACAACATTAATCAGTTTTCCTTTTTTTTGAGTGTCATTTTGCATTTTTCATTTGTGTATAGATACAGTATACTGTATGAACTAAGCATTTCCTCAACATGGGTGCACAGCAGAGATGGTAGTTTCACAAAAACATTCTCTATTCAAAATAGCGGCAGACAGATTATGCTTTGATTTGTTTGTAACATTGTTCTTGTGAACAAGCAAATATATGACACATAACCTGTGTAATCAGATAAGTGGACGGTGCTACAATAAAAACATGCATTAACTGTAAAACTAAGAAATTCTCTAGGAAGTGCCAGTCATTCAGATATAAGATAAAAGTAGTATAAAGTCAAATGTTTCATCTTTGTATGTTTAAACCTCATTTTCCAGCTTTCCTTTTCCTTTTTTATTTTTAATTTCCACTTCTAAGATAAGACAACAGTATCTTAGCCTAGCATAAAGCCTGTGAGCTCTGTCCAAAGGTAACAAGATCTAATGTGTTACTTGTTTAATCCATACAAAACCTAAATGAAGTGGTTTGACAGGTAGGTTATGAGGTAGACTATTTCTTGGCTGGGTGCAATGCCTTCCTGGAATCTTGCCATCAACATCAGGTTGCCACAAAAACATCACAAGAAGCAGTCATGCACAAAAAAAAAAAATGGGCACAACAGAAAACTGGTAGTCAAGGTTACTGTATGTTGTCACACTTACCACTCAGATTCTGATCCATACACTGTAGCACCGCGTTTCCATGCCTGATGTCCTGCCTGCGGTAGCGACGTTTGCTGTTGGGCATGTATCGTGCACAGGATGATCCATCCCAGGCACAATAAGGGTCTCTGGCCAGGCAGCACTCAGCACAGGCTTTCCCATAGGTCTCACAGCGATGCAGTTTCACCTGTGCCACGCCTGCTGGAGAGCCTATATACAGGGCTTGCTGTAAGAGGAAACAGGAATCTAGGCATGATGAAGAAAGAAGCAGGTTTTATCAAAAGTAGTAATTACAGTCATATCAACTTACTCTTTTCACGGATATCTCCATTGATGTAATTGGAGCTGGCACCTGAAATGATGAAAATAACTGACCTCAGGTATCCCACAATGCGTGGAAAGGTTTTAAAGGAATTTTAAAAAAGACATGCTCTGCTGTGTAATAATTAAAAAAAAGGACTGAAGAGGAAGCAGAGAGACAGCCAGATAAAAAAAAAAACTTACTTTAAAGATGCGTAGTTCCTCCAGTGTGACCTCCTCTGTCTCTAGACTGTTTCCACTGTGCAGGGCAATGACCTTCAACACTGTACCAACGTCTAAAAGACAAGGAGATGTGCTGTAAAATGTGTTCATTTTATCCCATGCTCTTGTTCTGCCTCAATAATCCAGTTTTTCCACAGAGATATATAAAGTGTCACCTTTAGGACCACAAACAAATTCACCATTTTACCTACAGACAAAACCAAGGTTGTCAATTGAGCACCCAGTTTGAAAAAGTACACAGTACAAGCTTCTGAGTTTGAAAAGAAATCTCCTTGTCTTACAGTACCTGTGCCAATAAACATGACATCATACTGCCCGTCCTCTGCCTCGACACGGTCCACCACGATTTGTTTCAGCTTGTAAGGAATGTTGGTCTTGACAAGAACAGGTTGGCGCAGAGCGGGATACACTGGCCGCCACATCAGTGGATGGTTGCGGGCAAAGTGCAGCACTGAATCAGGGAAATCCTTCGTGCTTCCAAACTCTCTGCCAGGCTGGTTGGTGATTTTACTGGGGCACTGAAGATATGGAGGGATGGGTGAGAAAGAGATGTCAAAGAGAACACTTTTAGAACATCTGTTTTGGTAAAATGCAAGGATAGATAAACAAAAGGATAGTTTTAAGGAAACATTCTGGACATTTTCCAGTTTTACACTGCATTCCAAACCATTTTCTACTAGTGGAAGTGTGCCATGGCCTAATTATTATATTAAATTCAAAAAGTCCTCATCAGCAGTTTAGTTGTTCCTGAAAACACTGGATGAAAGTTGAAAACCACAGTTACGTGTTTGAAGCAAAGTTTGCTACTAGGAAAAACTAAATTTTTGTGTCACTGCAGAAAATAAGAAAATGTGCTGGTATATTGAGATATCACTCCACTAATTAAGAAGACTGAACACAGCCCAAACGAAGATATTTATATGAACTCTAAGACCACTGAATTTGCTTAGGATTTAGATTAGTGATTCAATTTCAGTTATCCAAAATCTTTGTCATGTACAGCCATTTTTTAAGTATGCAACTGTTTAATGCAACTCTGGGTAAAAAGGAAAGTCAATTGTTCTGTGCAGAAGTACCTGGTTCTATTCTATTGTGTTCTTGTATTTTTATTTGCTCCCTTCACTTGCTGCTTTAAAGTGCCTTAGATTTGTCATTTTACTGCCTATTTAGATTTGTGTTATTGCTCATCTACTTTATATTTCCCTTGTATTGTGTGGCATTCATGTGGACGGCAAAGTAAGAATTTCATTGTACAGGAAAACACATTTCCTAACTGTGCATATGACAAATAAACATGTTGACCTTAACCTTTGACCTTTCTATTATCAGTGCTGGATAGCCAAAACCATCCTAAGTGATGGCTCCTTTGTCTGGTCCTTGATTACAAGTAGAAGGCAAATCCTTTCTCCTGTCACTCCTGTACCATTTTATCTAATTTAAGACTTCACATCTCCAATCTAGAATTAATCGTCCAATGGATATTCAAAACCCAGCAATAAAAAGGGAACTTTTGGGGTTGATTTCTGGTGTGTCAGTTGACAGTGCACTGGAAAACTCCAGCCAGGCAAGATCAGATTAGACTGATCGGAACTAAATTGTACAAGACTCGTTTAATAATGCTTTACTACTGCTCTGTGCAAGTGAATGATTACCTCATATAAGAATACAAAAGGTAAGTAAGGCAGGAGCAAAGATAGGGTTATATCTTCAAATAACTTGAGAGCCTAAGGAGAAGCTAAACTGACAAACTAATAATCTCATGAAGCAGCGGTTTCGGATGACAAAGACAAGGACGAGAAGTTCCATCAGTTAAGAAAAGTAACACTGCAGCTGCGAGTAACTAAAATAAAAGCATGAGTCAAAGTCATGAGGCCAACAGCTTTGAAAATATCACAAATTAAGGCTGTGAATGGGGAGAAAACTAACTGAAAACAATTCTCTTACACAGAAAAGATTCATGAGAGAACAGCCAATGTTGATCACTTGTTATTTAAATAAATCACATAGCTTGACATCGCTTTTCCAGACTGTATTTCCATATGGTAGAAATACTGTTACTCCTGCTTATCACAACAGTAACCGATCCACACAATAGCCTTGTAATAATCTGGGTTCAATTTCATAAAGGGGACTTGAACTGTGCAGGGAGGTTTCAATGAAAACATGCATAAATTAGTGATTTAGAACAATACATTGTCCCGAATACAGTTCTGTATACAGTTTCCTAATGGCATCAATTACAGCTTACTGCAGAAGGTATGTAATGTGTAAGCAAATCGAAACTCAATACCCTAACATGAAAACTTCCAATGCTCCTCCCCCCAAAAATAGAAATTTGTTAACAGTACGATTAAAAAAATAATAAGGTGCATCTTTTGTACACACTCATATTTGTGAGGTTCCCAATACACATCTTTAATATCTCAGTATCTCAATTTTCCACTCAAGCCTAAACTGGAACAGCTCCCAGGTCTGTTCTCAACTTGTCCAAACTTTGCTGCAGCAGGTCAGCTACTTTCAATCTCGAACTCAGAGCCAGGTGACAATTACTGGCAAGAAGAAGGGGTGAGCGTATTTGGCAAACACCTGTCTGTGTGACTGTGTTTTGCTGTGTATTTGTGTTAAGTGCATTATGCATCGTGTGAGCCCTCCTGTACTGGACTGTATTATAAGAAATATAAGTAACTGGTCAAGAATAACGAACAGATCTAGAGGAGAAAAATTAGATTAACTGTGGTTCAGTCCTGGAAGTTTACTTCCCTCATTTCTACATCAGCCTCTCTGACTGTGGATTTACTCATCCGCACTAAGAATAAAAGATTTAAATCACCAAATAATGGCTTGACATATAACCCATTATATGTCAAACACAATAGATTTGTTTTCATAACGTTGCGGAAATCCATCATGCTGAAAAAATTAACACAAATCCTAAATTGAATCATCAACATTTTTAAATAAAGCTTATTGACATAAAACAGATCATAAAAAGGTGATAAATTAGTCCCCAATCCAAAGAATGCAGTGGCTCAAAAGCTGGATATTAAAGTATCAAACATGAGGCTCATCAGATGATGGATGGACAGAGACCAGCAGAAAAATAGTTCAGACATTATGATGAGTTCATGCCAATGTTTACTGAAGCTCTGCTAAACTGCAATAAAGATACTATCCCATTATTTTGTCTGCTACAAGATGAATTATGACACATATTTAAATAATGTATGGTCATATTTCAAACCAAGATGAATGTCTAGGGAGGACACATCCACCAAATGTCTCTCAAACAAACTCTTCAAAGACAAAACTGAATTCTCATTTTCCATTCCCCAGTGAGTTTTGACAGGTGATTTAGGAGCCGCGATGGCTCTTACATACAGTAGTTACACAGAAAGAACTTAAATGTCATGGTGCAAGTGAGACAGAATCAGCAGACCCTCTCTATCTTCTCATCCCTCTCTTTCTTCCCTGAGCCTCTTTATCATGCCCCCTAACCCCTTCATCACCTATTCCCTCTCTTCCTCCATTTTCTCCTTCCCTTTCTCTCAGTTTGAGGCCAAGACATTCCTTTAATCAGGGAGTCAGCCGAGTGAAACCACAGAAGCATCTGCTCTGTTCTCATATTATACATGCTCCTTGTGCCTCCGTGCGCTCTCCTTCACTCTGGTAATGAGGTGGGTGACATGATTGATTGTATGTGTGTCTCCTACACACGTGTTTATGTGTATAACAAATCTGAATTAGAGTGACGTGGTTGAAATAACATGACAGAGGTCCACTGGGAGTCAGGATGTAAAACCAGGAGAAGGGTCTGTACTGTATACCGCCACCACAGCTAAAGTCGCCATAGTTTTGTCATTTTAGAAGTAAAGTCAGCTGACACTACAATACATTCCTGTCTAGTCTTTAGAACCTGTTCCTCTCAATCTTGTCTTTATTAAAATGTAAATCATTCTAAAAAATCCACTAACCGATACTGTTGATACGATTTATTAGCTTGCTTATATAACTGAGTTCACCAGGTGTTAGAGAAATGTATGACGCACATGAAGGCCAGTGCAGCATATACTGTTCCTTATCATATTGCTAAGCAGAAGCATGTATGATGGAAACTAAAACATTTGATTGAATTCAGGGTTAGAGGTAAGAAACTTTGTGAATAATCACTCACCACGCCTGGCCTTGGATAAGGGACTTTGCCTTCATAGGCCCCCCACCGGTAGTCAGGACCTTCTTTATGAGCAAAGGGTCCATTGAAGGCTTCTCTAATGTCAGCCATATGGTAAACACACACAGCAAAACCCTGGAACACATTGCTGTGGAGGAGAAGTATACAGTATTACAGCTGAATATCTCTGCCAGTGATTTTATCTTTTGGATTAAAACATTTGACAAGAAATGTGAGCAGATGCAGTTATACTGGCAAGAAACAGGAACCTTTAAGGAATAGTTAAGAAACAGAAAGCTGTTGATTTATTTTAGCCTTTGGTACATACTATACAGACCCATAATAGCATTAGACATAAGTCACTGAAGTCATAAAATGTAAATATCCCTGATGAATAAGCTCATACCATCTGAAAATCTGTTTTTAACTAGTTTCTAATCTGTTGCTCCTTCTGAGTGAACCAGCCAACAGCTGATGTCACAGTACCTCACTGCAGCAAGTTGAGAAGTTAAAGTGGAGGTCGAGAAAAACAAGATTTTCAGCTGGGGTTAAGTTGTTCTGTGTGAGCGGAGAAGCCTCTAGAGCAGCATTTTAACCCAAGCGGGATACAAGTAAATCACTGAGGCAAGCATTGGCCGAACAACTGAATTCTTTTAGAAACACTAAGAAACTAAAACTCCCAAGTGCAGCAGAATCTAGAGTAGATAACATGTATGTCATGTACATAAAGTGTGGAGAACCTGTACACCCATATTCTATGGTGCTCCACATGTGTTTACCTGATAGTACTGAAGACTGCGTAGACATCTGGGTTCTTCTCATCCTTGGTCCTCAGTAGGAAAACATCCTCTGTTTGACATGGAAAGACAGATGATGCCAGTGAGCACGTTTGTTTTGTGAACCAGTGTGTGTAGACATGAAATGCTGGTGCATGTGTAAAAGGGTTTGCGTGTATCTCACCCAGCTGGTTGAAGTGTGTGTCTATGCCGTGAGGTCCTGGTACAGAGCAGATCAGTCTAGCTTTGATGAAGGTACTCCACTTGTTCACTAGGACTCTCTGGCCTCCAACATCATTCTGGGAGGAAAGACAAACATGCCTACAGCTATAAAACACAGCTACTTATTTATTTGGCTCTGTACTTGGATTGAAACAATGACATGTCATAACATGTTCAAAATCCATGTTGGCTCAATCAGTGTAAAAATTCAGCCCCTTCCCCCAATTTCAGGACAATGAAGCATAACATGGATCAATTCCTACACTGTCCATCTGATGCGGATGTAAATCTTCAGGTTTAAAGTTACAGCACAATGACCTTTGAAATAAATTCAAAAGTATGAACCTGCTTTTGTACTTATTAGACACAACACATAATACAGTGGCAACCTGTATTATGTAGCCTATGCAGGCATAGTCCCTGGACTCACAATACAGTATATACCAAGGGATTGTGTCCATATGTGTCTGTCCTTCACTGTCTCTTTGTGAATATGCGTGTGACTGTGTGTGTGTGTGCGAGATACAAATCAGCAGTGATAATTGGCTTCTTGGCAACAGCCACCACAGGAACAGTGATGACAACAGATTTGCCTAAGGGGGGAAAAGAGAGCTAAGGAGGAAATATTATAATATGTGTATGTAGGAAGACAGATGGTGAGACAGAAGGAGAACAGAGATGGAGATGAGGAAAGCTCAGAATGGATTATGGGTTTGGTTTGAGAGGTTTGTGCAAACCTTTATGGCACTGTCCAACAGTCTCTAAGGAAATTCTGCAGCTGTGTGTGTGAGAGCATGTATTTGCTTGTATTTTTTATGCATACTTGCACATGGTGCACACAGCACACATATGGCTTTATAAGACAAATCAATGCATGAAAGAATGTGAGAGCATGGAGAGGAGACGGGGATTATGGTTGGGAAATTTGACAGCTGTGTGCATTTTGAAAGGAGAAAGGATTCACATTATTCTAAATGTCATGATTCCTTCACAGTCTTTTAGGGAAATGTTTGAAAGCCCCAGGGCAAATCCCTAAAACCACCACCCTCCTGTCTTGAGAAGTTAATGCAGACATTTGTATGTGACAATCTAGAAAAAGGCCACAAAATCAAATGATCCTCCCTTGCTAGCTTATTTTTTCCTCCTTGTGATCCTCATATAACCTTCTTCTAGTGGACTTCAGGGGCAGTGGGAATCTATACATGACAATGAAAGGCCTGGCTCAGACCCAATATTTAAGACCCATAGTGGATCTTCCAGGAAACAAGAAAGGATCCTCACATTCTCCCAGATCACAGCTTGGCAACCTCTTATTTTAGTGAAACGCCCCTGCAGATGTACCACTGCTGGGACCAGATGTTTGTATGCTCAGACATGCATTGTGCAGCACACCTGATTATCCCACATCACTCTCCACACCTGCCAACAGAGAATTTCTCAATCTGTCCACGACCCAAAAATCAGAAAAAGTTGCGGTGATATGTAAAATCTTGATTAAAACTGAAAATAGTGATTTGTAAATCATCTGTGTTCTGTATTACACTGACACTTCTTATCTGACAACTGCTTTAGGTGGGTGGGTGTGAAAAGTGGACACCAACCAGGTGCAACTACAACAAAGTAAAGCTGATCAGATCTCCAAATGGGATGAGGAAATGTTCTCACATAACACTCTTAAATTCTAAGAAACCTCTGGAAGCTTTAGTCCTAAGTCCTTTTGTAAGCACACACTGAACAAATCAGGGTGATTTGCTTGAATAAAATTGTTTCTGGATATTCTGTGTCTTCTTTCTTACTGTGCATAGTTCCTCATGCATTGGATTTTTAGTTTGTTATGTCTCGCATTTTATGCTTCCTTGCTCAATGGGAAAGTCTGTGAAAATAAAGCTCACATTCATTTACAATGTACATGCATCTGGTGGCAGCTGTGACTCAGCAGGTAGAGCGGTTGTCACCTAAGTGGAAGGTTGGAGGTTCAGTTTCTGTTCTCCTCAGTCCACACGGTGACGTGTCCTTAAGCAAGACACTGAACCACATGTTGCTCCCCATGGTCAGGTCAGTGCTGACATTGGTGTGTGAACAGATGAGTTGCAGGACTAATAAAGGGTCTTGTCCTGCCAAGATGGCGCTGGTTTAATGCTCTCCATGAGGGAGAGCCTCTGTACCAAGGACAAATTCCTTGTGTGTGCCAAACACACTTGGCCAATAAAAGTGGTTAAATGAAATAACCAAGGCCTTAAGCGAGGACATTTTTCTTGAAAGACAAGTTTCTTTTGAGTTTTTTAATAAAAAGTTTCAATGCTTTCAACGGGACAAATAATTCTATATTAGTGCCAGCATAAATCTCAGTGTAATTGTATTTGTAAACTGGTTGCACTTATGTCACTGCAGTGCAGGGTTGTTAATTTACCTGCCACAGCCTTAACAGAACCATCATCACGTAAATCACAAAATAATGCCTATACATAAAGAGTATCTTACCGCACACACTCGTCCCACACGTGTGTGTATAGCCCCCTCCCTGTCCTCTGCCTCTGTGGTCTTCTCAGTAAAGAAGAAATACACTTTATCATTGTCTCTGTCATCGTTGTCTGGGATGAGGTGGGCAGCGATGAACTTGGGGTCTGCAAGAGGTGGGCATAAGTATGAAAGAAAGGGGTAATCAATTTAGAGACAATAACTCATTTTGGTACTCTGGCAGGGTTTTTCCTACTGATAGGGCTTCTAAAATTTTACAGATTTTCCATAGACCCTACATTTACATTTAATCTCGTCAGGTGTTTTTGTCCAAAGTGACATAGAAATGAGGTAAAGTCCAAGCCACAGTAGACCACACAAAATGTACCGCAGCTTTCAGTTCTATATCCTCACTTACACAAGTGCCACAAGGCTCGCAGGTGCATGAAGTAGTATGTCAGTGCACAGTAGTTTTTGTTCTGTTGCTTTCTGACACTAAAACTACATATGGTTCCCGCCAGTTACCTAATGTGCAGTGATGAGGATAAACATTTAATTGCTGCTCTCATCCTCTTTCACCCAAGAAACTTTTAGGTCTGTTTGTGCCATAAGTCAGTCCAAAACATTCCCTGCAAAATCAGATCTGGTGACAGATAATGTCAATGCAATATAAATAGTTTGTTTTTCATGATAATGTCTCAGAATTTTTTATAATACAATTTTACACATTGTACTGCCTTTTAAAAATGACATTTTATGTTCCATTTAGACTTAAAGCAATTCTAAAACATTTAAAGGGTTTAACTGATATTTTATCACAGCCTGGGAAAACTTCTGATCTCTGATTATCTGGACAGTGAACCCTGAAATGTTGAGAAAGGAATATTAATCAACATGTGATCACAGAAATGGCACTTTTGCTTCATGCTATGTTATCAGTTAACATCTCACTGGGAAGATGAGCCTAAATGAGTTTTCTGACAATAACCAATTATTGGGAACTGATGATTTCTTTTAGCCTGTGATAAAATTATAATATATTAATTGTGTTATTTGTGTGTTACCATGAAGAAGTTTCTCGTCAGTCTCCGTCCTCATTGTGGAGCGACCTCCCATACTCCTGAGGATCACAGAGTCTCTTCCCAGGAAATCTGCTGTCAGTCCTGTGTACAACTCCCCACCTACAGGGAGGCAGGTGGTAGCAAGACATGATGAGTTGTAGGAGATTTGTAGAGATAAATGACAAATCCATTACAATATATTCTCTGCTGAGCCCACCAGCAGTGGACTTGCTTTCAGGTTCAGCAACTCAGGAAACCAATTTTCCTCAAAGAAGAAATAAAATACCGAATGTTTCTAGTGGCATTTTAGCAGTCTGGGTTGTCTGTCATCAATGACAACAACAGCAGCTGGCTTGGAAACAGCTTGAAGAATTACCAGAGATAGTTTTTCACAATAGATGTATTTGTTTTTCCAAACACACCTGTTTAAAATTTTTCACAGGCATTCAGTAGTTGCATCTGGCCACAAACTGTTTCACTGATCTCACTGGTGTAAATGAAGGCTTCTTCTTCTTCCTTTTTAACTTTAATAACACACACACACACACACACACACACACACACACACACACACACACACACACACACACACACACACACACACTAGCTGACCTTACCAGACATACATACAGTCATCTCAACATGTGGTATAACACTCACAAGTAAATAAAACTATGTAATGACAAGGTCTTGTGTATTTTGACACAGAAGGCATTGTTGCATGTCTTTGCTGAGATCCTAACTACTGCACGTTTCCCTCTAACATTTTCCATGGAAATTTCAATACATTGTTGAATAAATTCTGATCTGAAAATCACCCAGCTGCAGAGAGAGAACATACACACACACACACACACTGTCACTGGTATTGTGTACTGTATGTCAGTGCTATTTCACAAACTAAATACTTAATGACATTTAAAGGGAAACACCCAGAATGTTTAAACCTAGACGAGCCAGAGAAGGTTTCCCTAGTTGCTCGTCTTGAGGTTATTATTTTGAAACATAACAGATGTCTGTGCAAAGAGGTGAAATGTGTAAAAACAGATTGAGTTTGGCATTTCATATAATCTGATGTGGCAGGTGAAGACTACCAAGGTGCGAAAAGGACCGTGCTAATTTGACAGCTTTGTCACTGTGGGTTCAACTTCACCTTATTACACACAAGCAAAGGGGTAAGGATAGAACTTTGACAGAATTCTCATTAAACCAGCTGGTTCAACCTATTTGGGTTTCATCTCAGTTATCTGTTATAACCCAGTTATTTCAATAAAACAACTGCTTAACATAACTGGCTCCTTTTCCACATTAATCCAATTTTCTATTTTTTGGCACATACCACTGAAGGTGCTGGCAAAGGGGAGGCTGGGGTCATGAGGAACTTTTCCTCGTCCATTTTCCACATTTTTAGGATCCATTGTGAATATGTGCTGGGGAAGAAAGAAAAACAGTGTTACATGTATTTTATTAGCGCAGGGTGTCTTTAAAGCCTCCGTATATCCACAGAATATGCATCACATTAACTCTTCTCTTCCTCAGAAGCAAGTAAACAAATGTTAAGAATACATTTCACCAGAATGTGAAGTCATTAATTGCTCTTCCTACATCGGGGTTCACTATTTTAGCTTCAGGCCGAGAGTTAAAGAGCCCATAACCTCTTATTTTGCTCAGAGAGAAAAAAGGAAGGGAGAGAAGTTCAAAAGGTCTCGTCACATAAGTGATCCAACCTAGACTTACAGTATTAATACCACTAACCGAGAGGTCAATCCTATCCTTCTCTGTCCCTTTGTCCACATGTAAATGGAACAAGAGCTGTGCTCAGTTTCAGCCTGTGTTTCAAACGTATTTGCCCTTCCATTGAACTCTGCATTTTGTCTGAGAACTAAGATACTGTCTGAGAAGAGAGGAAATGCAGGATCTGTGCCATTGCCAAGGTTGAGACAAGTTTCCCACTCAGTTCCCAGTGTAGCGCAACCCTAGCTGAGGGCCGTACCGAGGAGCCAGCAGGGTAATAAAGGAACACTAAGTAGACAACACTGTTATCAAATAAAAACTTAAAAATCCAAATTTTCCAAACAGAAAACAATTGGTAAAAGACCATGTAGACATTTGACTTGCCATTTGGTTCCTGGTGTCAGGTGTGTTTTTATCAAGAAAAAAAAAAATACAGTTGCACAGAAAGTGATATGATTCATGTCTTTAGCAGCAGCAACAATAGACTGTTTGTAAAAACAAAAGTTGTCAGCATGTTCAATCAAAACAGAAGATTTATGTTAAAAAACATTACTAAATACAAAAACTTGCACTTTGAGCTGTGAAAATGTCTCCAAAATTAAAAGATAAAACATTTTATCATCACCATGTTATATCAAACTGCAGTTTGTAGAAATTAAAGTAGCACAGCGCTTCTTACTTCAATATTCACCAGTTATTCACCCAACAAACACTGGCCACATCCTTAGACTGGGTGATCTGACAACTCAGACTCACTGTGGACAAAAAAGCCTTTTGTTTTCAGCCTTTCTACTGCCTTTCACTTCAACAACACCACAGCACCAAGCTGTCTCTGCCAACTCACTTCAACACCACCACAGCACCAAGCTGTCTCTGCCAAAGCTCCTTGGGCGTGACCAATGTGAGTCCAAATGTCGTTGACTTTCCAGTATAGAAAAGGGACCGGAAGGCGACAGGACATACAGTAAGAGCTCATGTTACTACTGATTTCAGTGTCCTTACAGTGAGCACCACAAGTCTGTTCCTCTAATAGACAATGGAGTATTGTTACTGGGAGGATGAGTCTTCGGCAGAACGGAGATCACAGGGGAGATGATGACAATGAAGTCAGCAGGATAAAAAACACAGTAAGAAAAAAACAGAATAATATGCACACCCACACACAGCAAGTCTTGTACGTGCACACAGACACACTCACTTGTGCAATAACACATGCTGAGTCACATGGACACAGCACAGTTTGTCAGAAACACACCTTAAATTGTACAGTATAAGCACGGACACATTCAGCGGGTCTCAGGAAATAAGGAGAGATGGTTGCATTTTTATTTGATCCACATGCAGTTTTCTGAATGTTCAAAACCAGGTTGGAATGACTTTTACATGTGTCTGAGTGAACATGCATAGCTCACCAGCACACAGAATGATAACACACACTTTCATGCTTGATTTAAGATGGTCAGCGATATTTAACGAAATCTCGGAACCTTTCATTTTCACTGGGCTTTGTGCATAGCGTGGTTTTTTTAGTCATTCACTTTAAAGTTGTACCACATGTGGGTTTTTATTCTAAAATCCACCATTTGCAGAAAAGTACTGCTGTATCTGCTTACAAATCACTGGCTATCAGCGTGCTGTGCAAACACAATTCTTTATATCAGACACACTGGACAATAGAAATGTCTAGAACTAAAGTCAATTTGTAAACGTATTTATCCATTTTGTCACCCAGTCAAACCTTTTTCCTTCCTTATTTCTTCTATCTCTTGATTCTCTCTCTATCTGGAATTTCTTCTCTTAATTCCAGCTGATTTCTGTTCTCCACCTCATTCTCTGCTGAGGTCCTCTAGTCCACTGATTCGTCATCCTTAAGCTGTCAGCACCCCCTTGTTTGTTTTTTTTTGTTGAAGTTAATGTCATTGAATCTCAAGCCCCATCTGAGTGTGAGCGTGCGTATGATCTGGGTGTGTTTGTACACTTATACTATATGCCCAGTTTTTCGTTTTTTTTTACTGTGCACTTGTGCATTTTAAATGCATAAGACGTTGTGCAGCTTTGAGACTGTCGGTGTGTGTTTGTATCTGTGCTATCTCATTATGGTCTGGGGGAATGGTGTAAGACTAAAACAGTCAATTCTCTGCCAAGACAAACAGCCTACACACACAAGTGCTGAAAATAACACACACACAGAAACATCCAGGTCACTTCGAACTCTGTTACCGAATCAAAGAGCGTCTTTCCAGATCTACTATTTTATATCCATATTTAGTAATATAGGGAGAAATCCAGTGCTGGAGAGCCACAAATACCAGTTTATCTTTCTTTTAAGACAGCAGACATAAAGTAAAGGATGCATCTCATGCAAAATTTTCTTTGACAGAGTTGGAGACATTGGTGCATTTATAGATCCTACTTGTCTTTCTGTCTTCGTGATGACAGACAGGGAGAAACAGACAGAAGAGAGAAAGATGAGACCTCCCATACATCACAGCAGCTTCTTGGCTGCTACTTCCCTCCCTGCTCTACCTCCAGTCCTCCGTCTACTGAGTGGACGTCCACCTTTGCTACTTCTTGCTCCTTCCAGCCTCTTATCTCCTCCATCTTCATCCCCTCTTGTCCTCCCTTGATGTTAGTGTTTTGATAAAGTGGAGTTTTATGCTACATGAGTGTATAAAATACAGCAAAAATGAAGCAGCACTGCCCTTTGAATGATCTGTCTGGACTCCTATCTTTGACCTTTAAAAATCTTTTCCCATTGTTCACATTTAATTATTTACATCTGGATAAAGGTTAGCTACACATTTTATCTAGTAGTAAAACTGGTAAATGCCTAAAGGTCTGCAGTATTTAATGGCACCTTGATCACCCAATAACCCTCATTTCACTTACTTGTACTTGGCCCTTTCTTCATGACCAGTCAGACGACGACTGGGCTCCTTCTCTCACATTCTAAAAGGAGAATGGGAATCTCTTTGCCTTTCATTAATCTTCATTTTCTACTTTGGTTTTTTTCCCCCTACTTGTTTTGACCCTATTCTCATCTGTCTATTTCTGTCTTTCTCCTGAAAGACAGAAAGGGTGTGTGAGACACATACACAAAAGTGTGGGAGGCAGAAAGACATGACCAGATTAAGACGTGTGGTGATAATTACAGACGAAATCTGATAGGCAATGTCGAGTAATAGGAATAGAAATTACGTGAAAATAACTGAAAAAGGTGAAGTAGTAAAATAAACCTGTAAGAGGCTTCATCTATCTTCCGTTTGTAGTGCTCTGATCCAAACGCAACATACATGGCCAAATAAGAGTGTGATTGATGAGCAATTAATTTTTAATTATGCGTTAAATCTTTTCAGTCAATTCCTCTCAACACATTATTGCTGCACTACAGGCCTTACTGAAGAGCTTTGCTCCCTCTAGACTGCATGTAGTACTCACAGAGGTTTCAACGGAGGCTTGAGAGGAATGAGTCACTCAGCATGTTACTCTGAGTACAAAAAAGCTAAACTGAAGGTATCTGAACTGCTTCCATTTACAGTGCAGCTCCAGTTTGTGTGCTTTCAACATCTGCTTTCAGTTCTGTCGGTTGTTGCTATGTACATAAAACTGTAGCTTCCCTGTATGTATTTATTGATCTGTGTCTTTCTACACTTTTTCATATATTTGTATGTGTTCGAATGTGTGTCTTTCATCGCGTTAGTGTGTTTTCTGTCTGTATCACTGCAGATTTGTGTTTAGGTTTGCGTCATTTGCTTTGTTTGACTGTGGGTGTATGTCCTCTGCATGTCATCACTGCAACATGGTGGTTTATTTTCCCATCTATGAATGACACTGCTCAGACGGCTATGTCACTCATCATGAGAGCTCCAGTTTGTGAGTGTGTGTGTATGTGTGAGAGAGAGAGAGACAGAGGGCACGAGGACACACAGATTCAAAACAGAATATTGGTCCATATTTAAGATCAACTCCATGTGGTGTGAATTGATCTAAATATTGTTTTCACAATCAAAGAAACGTTTTTCCAGGAATGAAATCCAGTTGAAATTCAATCTGGTTTGCCTAACAATTTTAAAGTAATTTTGATGGTTCTGAAATGTTGCCTGAAACATCTTTGTTCTCAACAACCTCCCAGAAATATGAAAACCGCTGCTGCCTTTGCCATCATGAGTTGGTTGGTGTGCCATGAAGCCATGAAATATAATTAGGGTAAGCCAACTCTGGAGAACAACAGTTTGTCCAACACTGGCAAATTTAGTGAAAAACACAGAGAGTAGAAGAGCTTATTTCTTCATTTCAACCCAGGTGATGTAAACCTAAATTCACATTGTAGTTTATGATACAGGCATAGGTTTTGTGTAAAATTTGTGTAATGGCCACTGAAAGAGACTGAGACTGAGACAGAAAGAGAGAGACAGAGTATGTGCATACACAAAGTATGTGTATGTCTGCCAAGAACTGAGATGAAACACCTAAGAGGTCAAAGGTGATCCCACCCACAGCCCAGTCCAAGGGTTCATGTCCACGGTTCCCTTGAGAGGTCAGAGAAACAGACGAGTGTGTGTTCTCCACCAGTTAACGATTGGTTAAATAAATGGACAGGATCCCTGTGGTGTCGTCCATCTGGAGAGACACACTAATTACCTGTAAAGACATGGCGTAAGAACACACACACAAGCAGGATGACAGCTGATATCTTAGATCAGTTAGGATAACTGAGAAGGTTCAAAATGTAACACACATAGAGATAAGATATACACACAAAACTATACAAATGGCCACTCTGTTCATTCACATCATACACACCTTGGAATGCACGGATACACACACACACATGCACACCATCTTATTCCCAGGGACAAATTACACAAATGAGGAGAGCTGCACTACCTTCACCATTATAAACATGTCAATAACAGAAGGTTTTACACATTTTAACTCCAAACTTTCAACTACATACAAGAAGGTTTATGAAGGTTTTGGATGATCTGAGCAATCTGCTTCAAATTGTGCACGTCATTCTAGTCCTTTTTTACTGTATGTTCTGGCATTTGCTAGTGAAAAGCACTGTGTTAGACCATCGCTACATTACAGTACACTTGAATTTCAAAACGTTTCCTTTGCTTCCCATTTAGTTTCGCTAGCGGAATCACTGCAGCACAGCACAAATACGCATAGGGTTTGATTGGTTGCCAACAATTGTTTAGTTCAAAGCCAACCAAAGCCAGGCCAGCTTAGTTAAAAACTTTCTGGACAGCAAGTCCGGTGTTCCCAGTAGGTCTGGGGATTAAAACAGATGACCTACTTTTCAAAACATGTTTGGTCTATACTAAAATGTAGTATCACTCTTACAGGACTACACTGACATTTTTAAATCTCCAGATTTCGTTTTCCTTGTCACCAGCCATGCAAACCACTGTGTATCATTACTGGGGTAAGTTATTTGGTATGAGCAAACTAAGATGTGTGATGTTCTTTTCAACCTCAAAGTCCACAAACCATGTTGAGGGTGACAGACTGGAATGCAGAAAATGGCACCGCCAAGGAGAACACATACTGTGATAAGGATCTCCATCCGCAGAAAAAGCTAAGAAAAATGCTGCTCATGCACCTCCTGAACTTTATATGCACACACAGGCCACACAAGCCCCCCTTTGTGCTCCCACCCTACTGTCTCATTTCCCTTCCTTAGATCTTTGCCAACATCCAGCTTTCCTCTGTCCTTGTGCCCAGAGTGACCCCCTCCTGCTGGGCCAGGCAGGGCGGCACACTGGACTGTGATCTGCTGGACTGCTTGGGAACGAGCAAGCTATGAGTCTGTCTTAACAGCTCCATTATTCACAGATTCTTGTCTTTTGAATGGTTCAAAGTGTGAGTATGCATAGGGTCTCACAGAGTTGAGTGGCTATAAAGAGCCGGCCTACTCAGCTGAAAAGATGTATAGAGGGTCTCACAGTGCAGAAGAGCAGCTCTAGTTCTCTCCAGCAGCTGCCTTGCCAAGCCCACACAGACACACACACACACACACACACAAGTTTAACTCCCCTCTGTGCCCCACATAGATGAAGGCACACATGGGCTGGAAAGCACCGGTGCCACAGGCCAGGAGGTGGGTGCGGTTGTACGGTTGCAGGAGGCGAACAAAGTTGGCGCATTCCATCTGTGAAACACAGAAACATATAGAGAGTAAAAACTTGTATCTCAAAGAAATGTGAATAGTAAGTATGTCATCCATCCATTATCTATAGCTCCTTATCCTTGAGGGTTGCGAAGTCACTGGAACCAATCCCGACTGACACTGGGTGAGAGGCAGAGTACAGCAAGGACCCCAACATGTGTTGTGTGAAAGGTTTTGTGATGTTCAGTTGAATACAAAGTGGTTTATCTCTCTACCATCAGTGTCACAGTGAACCTGGGGTGTCCTTGCATCATTTTGTGAAGACACAAAAGCACTTAATTTGGCTATGAATCATGAATAAAAAAGAAAAAAAATGTATTTATCATTTTTTTATGCTATAGCAAGGATCTTCTGCTGAGGTACAGATTGTAAACATTACTGAACACACACACTGGGCTACACACACACACACACACACACACACACACACAACTGGGAAGAGCTCTTACATAAATCATATCATATCAGTAACTGTCATCCAAATGAAGATAAGTTTACTTTCAGGATATTTAAGAGAACTAAAATAATTTCTCATCTGTGCTTATTGATCCCACATGTTTGTAATGAGGGACAAGAAAAGAGATTCATTCGATGAAATGTGATATTCTCACACAGGATTTGTATCTCTAATTTTTGTATTTAAGCCAAAGTCACGTGCTGATGCTATGGAACATGTTTCACCACATTCAGATCAAAGGAATGTTGTCAAGACGTTTAGTAAAACGTCATTTTTAAGCTTTTAAATAAAATGTACCTTTCATGTAGATAACAAAAAGACCAAGGACAAGTATAAATATTACTTCTGCAATGAGAAAGAGAGATGCATTAAATGTAGAAATAGAGAAAAATGGTGACTCAGAAAGAAGAACTGTTTCAGTTGGCACTCAAACTGTGACTTCATACAACTGAAGGAAGCAAAATAGAGATTCAAGTAGACAACTGTAAAAGGTCATAAACATATACTTAAACATAGTATCAAGCCATTTCTGTAGTACACAGAGGTCCAGAGGCAGTGGAGGGCATAAGAACTTCCTTCTTACTGTCTGTAACAACAGCAGCTGATGAAATGTGTGTCAGCTGTGAAGGAAGGAATCATCTGAGCATCATTCTCTCAAGTTAATAATGTCAAACTCATATCTGCACAGTGAGCATCTGGAGTGCGTCTTCAAAAGATGTGTGTTTATGTGCAAACACTGAATGCCATTAGTTTAAATAGATCTAAGGCTAGGGCTTCTTTTTTGCCTTTTTTGTATTTGCATCTCGCCTGTGTACATGTCTTTTTGTACACTACCCTATGAGCATGCGCATGTATGTCAAGGCGTCTAGTAAATCCGTCATTTTGTGTTTGTGTGTGGCCCCTGTCCCTCTCAGATACTCAGCCAATGTTTATCATTTCCTCGAGTTCTTTATGGTCATGCAGACCTGATGTAAACCATGTCCCTGCACTATGACAAATAGTTTACACCATCGCCCACCTGCCTTATTTCTCCACCAAACAACCAGGCCTGTAATAAACTAAGCGGAAACACATTTGCATTAAGAATGTTTTTAGTAAATCTAAATGCACTAATAATTGGTCAGTGTACACAGTATATTTCTGCTGAAGTAAACCGGATGCAGTTGTTTCCAACTGGTTTTACCAGTGTAGACTGCATCTCCAGCCAACTGGAATCATCTTCTAAGGAGGAAAAATTTAAGACTGGATTAAACATCATGTCTCTGTGTCCTCAAAGGAAAATAAATGTAGTCTAGAAAAGCCTACAGACAGAGTGAATCGAAATCTGTCTCTGTGTTCCTCTACTCAGGGAGACATCTTGGAGTCTTGGAGAGCAGGACTGCAATGAAATGTTGAAAAGAGAAAATATGTCTCTGCTCTCCCACCCTGGGATTTGGGATTTTACACATATATGTGTGGTCTTGTTTGAGGTTAAGTGTCATTGAAGTGGTTTTATTACTAAATCTGGGTGATCTCAGGGAGTAGTCTTAAATATTGAGCTAGTGTTGAAAATGGAGAGACTTAAATCACTGTATAAATAGCCAGGGCCAGAGCTGTTTGTTGGACAAAAATCAAACATTGTCTATTTATTAAACTTTAATTACATAATCAAACATTGTCTATTTATTAAACTTTCATTACAAAGAACCACAAATACTCTTTCCCAGCAACACCCTGCGGTCCATCCACACAGATCAAACTTTGAAGCTGGTCACAAAAACCACAGTGGTGTGTCTTGGGTGTACAAAAAAGGTATGCATATCATTTTAAAAATCTAATTATTGCTACATTTGCTCTGGGATATATGCATCATTAACATAAACAAGCAAGAACATTGCCAGGACCTCTGGTAGACTCTCCAAGCCCTTACAATGTGCAATATACAGTAAGTGATACATGATGCACATGTAAAAGTTCAGTGACAGATGATGTAACTACAAAAGCAAAATCACTTGTGTCATGTCCACCAAAGGTTAAACCAGTATACAACTTGCTGAAGAACCCTCTTTTCCAGTGGATTAATTAGACCTTTACTTGGCATCTGACCACATGAATGACACATCCACAGATACTTCTCACATGTCTATGTTTTTCAGTATACAGAGAGAGAAACTCTGGCCAAAGAAGCAGATGAAATGACTCCAGAAAGCAGCAATGGAGACAAATGTCCTCTCCATGACAAAAAGAAACAGTGTTTATCTTGAGAAGCATGAGCAGTAACAGGACACAGTACAGTAACAGGACCCTTTTAATCAGGGTTTGATTTGTTTACAGTGACTATAATACATAGTCACAATTTGGCTATGATACATTCATAATTAAAATGTTCCATGTAGATGCACTGAAGAAATGTGCTCAAGGTTGAGGCTCCAAGTTTGTCCTGGTGCTGAAAAATATTTCCAATTCTTTGTCACAAGCACATTGTTGATGCTTCAGGAAATGTAAAGGGGTTTGTAAGTTGCCATCAAAATAATGCAGTGATGAAATGCAAGGTACATTCACGTCTCTTCCATTTTGCTAAAAGTTTTTGTTTAAAGACGAGTTGTACTAGGCGTGCCCTGTTTTACTTAACAGGAAATTAGGCTTAATTTCAGGGTCACAGCCATTTTATTAGCACTCTCCATGAAGCGCAGTGTAATATCAATACTGTTGAGGTTAGTCTCCACCAAAACAGGAGAAATGTCACTTGTGTGTTTTCTAAGCTGGCTTGCTACCATTAGCTGTGAATGAGCATGCTTTCAGGAGACATCTAGTTTTATTCTGAATTGAACTGCGCATCTGAGACTGGGACTTCTGACGAGTTGTGTGTAGTCACAGAGGCTAAACTAGCAGCTAACACATTACCTTTGCTGATGAGTAATTAGTGAAGTCATGTAATTACCTTTTCAATGAATAATTTATTACTTGGGCAGCACTAATTATGACTGATGGTGCAGGGAGAGGCAAGCTTGGACATGGAGAGTGGTTTCCAGTGTAAACAGCCAATTTTCAGTGGAGAGAAGTCAGGTTCTATATTACCAACAGGAAATGAGGACCAACCTATTCAAACACACACACACACACACACACACACACCCACACACACAAATCTGTACACGTACAGGACTATACGAGTAGGAACTTATACACAAACAAAGTCACAGACACACACATCATGAAGGTAATTCAAAGTTGAGCAGACTGATGAATCTACTTGTATAAAACTTTAGTCTCAGGAGCAGTTGATTCACTAAAGAAACCAGTTTGTTTGAAGGACACTTGACTGATTGATTTCCACACAGCGCTGGAGCCATGTCATTCATGGCAAAAAGCAAAGAAAAGTATGCAAGATGATTTTCTAAATATTAGCCAACTCCTCAAACATGTAACCAATTGAATACTCATTTCATAATAGAAAACTGTAGTCATCTACTTGGCTTCTTGGGAAACTTAAGAGCTAAACCCAACATTTAACAACAAAAACAGTCACAATTGGTTTCAAGGTTTCTGGCCACTGCATCATCTTTTTCTCATTAATATTAAAAACAAAAACACAATGCATTAAGTTTATTTTGCCGCAGTACAGAAATGTTTAGCTAAATCCTGGTTGATTTCCTAGACAAGATGGCCTCTTGTTCTACTATACTCACACTTAAACACACACACACACAGTGAAATTGATCACAGCAGTATTAGTGACCCATGTAAAACTACCATAAACAATCACAATGCCCAATTTACTATACTGCCCAGTTTTCACAAAACTTCTGTTTCACCTCAGAATTGTCTTATAATGTGTCACAATTTTAGCCCCTTAGAGAGGAAGTACAACTGAAGATAGGTGAAGCAGCAAATGTGTTAACAGCCAGGGCGAAGCAGAACGCATCTGTCTGAAGTCACTAAGTGCCCCCACCTGATGTTTATTTTCCTGAGCTGTAATAAATGATGGTGAAGGTCATGAGGTTGTGACTCTGGGAGGAGACACTATCAGTAAAAACACCTTTTAAGTGGTAGACAGTTGTTGGTAAAAGACCTTCATTAAACAGATGATGACAAATTAAAACTAAAAAAACCTGAATAAATGAGTGGACAAACACATGCTCATGCTGGCACGGTGTGGGTCCACTTGCTCTCTTAGAGGCAGGTGTCACTGCAATCAACACAAAGTTGTTCTGAGTGATCACCTTATATAGAAACCTTTGTACCCCGATGGGAGTGGTCTCTCTTCCATGATGACAGAGCCCTCATCAACAGGGCACAAGGGGTCACTGAATGGTTTGATGAGTATGGAAATGATATGAATCGTATGCTATGACCTTCACAGTCACCAGGTCTCAACTCAGTTGAACACCTATGGGAGGTTTTGGTAAATTGCAGATTTTTGTTGCCATTGTTTTAACTGACTGGTTAATATTAATTTTTCTTCTTACCTTCTTTCTGTGGCATAGAATTTTCTTTATCTCATCTTTCCCCAAATCACCAAAGACACACATACTTGCAGAAAAGTCCATATCCACCAAAACAGTGTGAAGACCTTTCACCTTTCACCCTCTACCACATTTTGTCAAACTCAGTTATGTTTATCAAACGAAGACAGCTGGCATATGAGGTAGAACATATGTGTCCACATGTGAGGGAGTTTGGCGTGTGTGCCTTTTGTGTTGTAGATGCCATAGGATACAGCACTAATCCATCTAATTTGATAACAAAACCTCTCATGGCATGAAGGAATGCAGAACGCTGTCTGCGTAGTTTCACAATAAAAGACAAACATCTCAATCTGTTACTCATACTACTTCACACACACAGAAACTCTTTCTGAATGCTTTTGTACAAGTTAGGTAAAGTTACAGGCAGCCTGTTTTAAGGCCTGTCTAATAATACCTACTCCTGGACAGTACAGTAGCGCACGCATACCCCTCACATCTGTCCCATTCTCATGAATCTGACTGGCTGCCAGAGGCATAACATCCACAATGTGATAATTATAGTTTAAAGCTGAAATTAGCTGACATTATTTCATATTGTATGGCCATAACTGTATGGCCTTTGTGGTTTTCTATTTCTTCATAATCCCTTCTCCTGCTGCATGTAATATTCTTCTCCCTATTGATTTCTGTTTTTTTAATTCCCTCTGCATTTTCACTCTTGCCTTCCTACAGTGCTTCAGGGCTGTCAGTTTTTCTATATGCATGCCCTCTCTCTATTAAGAAAAAAAAACTAAGGCTGTTCACCTTATTCATGGCAACTTTGCTATTGTGATCATTTTTAAATTATTTTGACAGTGCTGCTGTAGACTTTATTAGAGAGTTTACTAAGCTAATGTGTTTACATAAATTAGCACTGCAAAAACCAAATAAGAAATTGGAAGATACACTGAGAATAAAAGCAAGGAGAGAATGACTTGAGCACAGGATTCAGCTGGTGGGCAGACAAAATATTTGAAAGCCCAAAGACCAACTTGCCAAGCCAGGGTTTGGAAGACCCAAAGCTTAGGTCAACTCAGTCCATTCATTGATGTATAAAGAAATGTTCATTTGGTCACATTGTACTGTCTCAGATCATGTTGCTGGAAAGAGCATTAACAATCCAAATGCAGACATGAAACTCAACTGGTACAATAAAAGGTTTACACAATGGACAGGCAGTCACAGCAGGCAAACACATTCAAAGGTCAGCAAGCAGACATGACACTGGTACCAGACATGGTTACAGGTATTCAGCAAACAAGTCTTGAAGGCTACTGTACAGCAGCAAAGCAACATACAGTAAACAGTCATGGAAAGACTGGCTGAAACAGGCCTCTAACTGTATGGGCTGTTTATTGCAAGGCTTGTAGGGAATGAAAAGCAGTTTGGTAGGCACATGTCTGGGTCAGGTGATCTCTGAATAATGGAAACTCGAGGTCAACTAGAGGACAGGTGAAGCAGGGCAGGGTATAAGAACTATCAGAACAGATTCATTCATACCGGGAAGAGAAAAGGTATCTCTACGCGTGTTCAGACCGAATTAAGAGGAAATTTTACAAGAAGAGATTCACAGAAAGATTCAGTCTTGCTATATAGTTCCATCAGTTGAGGCCACGACGGGTCCTTGAGCAAATGTTTCAACTTGCTGAAACAAGTGGCTGAAGTGACTGAGCTTTCCGTGGCTGACCCTTATCTACCAAAGACCATCTTTTAATAGAAATGTGATAAAACAAGCAGGAATTAACTGTTACTCGCTTACCTGTTCCTTCCCTTTTTCAATGCAGTCCTCTCTGTTGCCAGGTAATGGGGGCCAATAGATCTATGAAGGAAAAGAAGATGATGGAGGGACAGAGAAAGAAGGGAAGAGTAAGTTACAAGTAATGTAAACAAACACCCTTTTTCAGCCATATTGCAAAATATAATTAGTTTGTGGGAGTTGCACAGGCTTTATATGTCTCTATTAATGCAACCACAACATCATTATCAGTGTACGCGTCACTAAATATGAATTATTTTCTCTGCAATTTTAACCTTATGGCAATTAGAAGCAAACTGAGTAGAGCAGATCCTCCCACACCTGATGATTTTAGAATGAGAAGCCGAAGAGTTTCGGAGCTGAAATTTTGGCTTGTGAAACTGAAACCTTGATTGAAACATAGACATTTATCATCAGCAACAACAACAGCAGAAGCCCATGCCAGCAGCAATCTTCACTATAAGTAAAAGAGGAAAAAAAATTCTGATCATTTTGATGAACAACCTCTTTTCAAAAAAGGTTAGGTAGCCAACATGAACTTTAAATCTTTTGAATAAATTGTCTTATTGTTATTAAGGATGACATACCATCCCGTCAGAAGAATACGCTACTTCTTTTTTATTAAATATCAGCAATCCAGAAAGGTAACCAGTGCTTCAGATTATCTTTACAAGAGCATCTAGAGCTTTGAAAAAAGAAAAGAAAATATAAATAAATAAAACTCTCTTCAATTATCAGCTCAGGTTCTCACAGTATGCCTGCAAAGCATGAAATATAACTGGGACCTGAAACAATGAAGCTAGTTTTCACACTGCTTTCTGCAAATGAAAAATGAAATCCAATTGCCAATGAAGCTGCTTCAGTAGTGAGCTCCAATAACATGTGTAACACTGTAGCTTTGTGCAGACTACCAGAGGGTTTCTCTGAGACAATAGGTCTTTGTCTGATCCAACTTTGTTTTGGCTAACAGAAAAAATAGAAGCCAGAGAGGAAAAGAAATGGTTCTGACTTACATTACTATGTTTGATTCAGTGTGCGAAGGCAGCATGTGTGTGACAGGGTGGTCTGTGTGTTAGCTACATTAAATGTGTGTATGAATTGGAAGTAATAAAGTGATAGAAACAAATATAGAGAAACAGTGTATATTAATTTGAACAGATGAGTGAATGCTGGTTTCCTGACTCAAAACTGAACCGTAGTCTCTTTGTTTGCTCATCACACTCAGAATTTCATATTGTCTGCAAAACTCTGAGACGGTCTATCTTCTCCATCATAAGTCTCCAGTCATCACCGCCAGCATTGGTGGGCTCTCTGTAAATCAGACTTCCCGAAACCTGGCTTTCATGTCATTGTTTTAATTTAAAGTCATGTATGAATAAAAGACAAGACCTTGAAGAGTCTGGAACTGCTTTAATTATTACCACTCTAATATGATATCTTAATACAGTGGACTGCAAAACCTCTGCCAAATAATCCCTGGAGTTAAGCTTAGTTCTGTCCATAAAACATAAATAAAAACTATCAGTAGGATATAAATCAACCTAGAAGGCGTCTTCATGAGAGAGTAAATTACGTATACCTTATACATTTTATTTGGGATACAACCTGCTGTATGTAAAGGAGGAGAAAAAGGAATGGAAAGATACCAATAATAAATTCTTTAGCTACTTTTACTACATACTGACAGATGTGCTACTAAACATTTGCTGTTTTCTATGTGATTTTTTAATTGTCATAAGAGGGGAAAAACAATAAGAACACATTGTTGCACCTCATTTGAAAAATTAAATAAGAACCATGAAAACCTATGGCACTGTATTCCTGCTTGACTGTTAGAAATCACTTTGTATACAATTATTATAATATTAGAAATATTTGTGAGAAACCTTTGCAATACCCGAAGTACAATAATCATACCTGAGAGACTGCAGAACAAAAAGTTTATAAGAAGTCTGAGAAAAACACTTATTCACTTTCTACAGTTTGATGAGATTGATACTATTGCCAGCAATTGGATAACTTTGCTTATTGAATCTTATTTGTTTATTCTATGGGACCAATTGCCAGACAACCAGCCAAGACTCCTGCACATATAACCCCCATCCAAGGGTAATATTACATTTCAGTTTGTGCAAAGTAAACAAGATAAAACATAGTATTTGTGAGTTTTAAATTTTGAAAGATGGATTTTGTTACCGTTTGTGAGAGCCTGGTTGGCTGTCACCCCTTATTTTCACATTTGTGCTATATACCTAGCTTCTAGCTGTCGCCTTTTGACTTTTGAGACAGCTCCATCATCTCACTATCTGACTGGAAGGTCTTTCTAATGTGTCTAACAAAACACTGGCTTGCAATTGTGGGAGTCCAATTCTAAACTAGGCTTGAAGTGGTTTAGATCTCTAGACTAGTTTCTTTGGCCTGAACCTGGACTGATTTGCATGCGGGCCTGGCTCACACACACCTCCAGCAGCCTGATAGCATGCCTGGCTGATACTGATATACTGTGAAATCAGGCCCCTCCTAAAACCTAGTTGGCAGTAATCTCTCAGTGTGCTGCAATATCCCACCCATCATCCAAGAGTCCCACTGTGCACAGGAAATATGGCTGACCTCCATCAGCTATCCATGACTCCGCCTCTGTTGAACCGTTTCTCAACACTTCATCACTGTGACTGTGCCTCTTCAAAGTGTGCTTTAATATGTAATCCACCCTCAAACATTATTCACATTTGTGATTTATTTCATTTTGAACTTGGACCAGTGTTTGTTTTAACTGCAAAAGACTCTATTCAGAGCTGGAAACAGACGAGACAAGATGGCCAGTCACACACACAGGTTGCACTTGAACTTTAAACTGAAACTGGTCATTCTTTTAGCAAGTCTTTTAACCGCCCCGGTGAATAAACTGGACCTTCAAAGGTGTCATGGCTCCAAACACAATGCTTGAGAGGTAAGCCAAAAATCATCAAATGCCATTGTCTATATGTGACAACTGCTAAACAATCTGGAATAGATCCAGTATACTTTACATTTTACAAACACTGAATCTGTAGCTCACTCAAAAAACAGAAACGCTGCTGTCACTTGAGCTGCTCTACTGTACAACATGTGCATCGATGTAGCTACAGTAAGCAGATGGTTTTTCATTTTGGTCAACTCGGCTGCAATTTATGCATAAAACCATCTTTTTTTTTTTTCTTCAGTTCAGTACTGCGGAGCCAAAGCAAAATGTGGTAGAAGGATGAAATTATGAAATGTGACGAGTGTATTTTTGACTGAATCAGGATGAAACAAGGCTTGAATTTAAATATCTGGCTGAAATGTTGTAAGGACCTTTGGACTCTTCAGTCTTAAAACTAACTCGGGTTTAACTTTCACCAGGTCTGCTTTTATTACCATGTTATTTTTTAAATTATATTCTTTTGAGGCCAAAGGGACCACTCTAGAATTACATTATACTAAATAAGCTCCAAAATCCCCAAGGAGACACAGCAACACACAACACTGGGCAAAATAAACCAGTTTTCTGAATATGCTGAAACATCAAAGTCTTTGGCAGGTGTCAACAACGCACCCAGGCCAAAACACATTTTATATACTGTAATCAGAGATGGTACATCAGCTACCAATCATAGCAAGGAAAAATGATATATGTGTGAATAATTGTTTTTCGTTTTTCCTGGTTAATTGTCAAGCAAATTGTTTCACTTCCCAGATTTGATACAGTAGGTGGTGGATCCTGTTTAAGGACTGGGAAGAAAAATGTTGGATCAATGCATCTAATGCCATTTGAGTTATTGTCAACTGAAGATGTGTGTTTAAATTTATGTTTACTTTACTCTCCAATTTTACTTCACAATTGGATTTACAGTAGAAAGGTTGGCAAAGTAGGTTTTCATACCAAGAAATGTTTTAAATTCTCAAGGGCAGAGTTTAAGCTGGAAAACTACAGGCTAATGTGATGGATCTCACAGTAGTAACAACTTCATTCTGGTTTTGAAAACAAATTGTCAACCCTCTCCAATATGAGGGGAAGAAACTGTTCAACATTTTGGGATACACACCTTTTTCTTTCCAAAAGCAATTTGCAGTTTTAAGGTGCTGGTAGGCACGTTTAACTTCTGTCTCATAGCTAATGTCCGTGTTAAATTAACAAACATGACAGTCATGCTGATCTCATCGACGTACATTTGGAAAGAAAGCAAATGAGCATATTTGATCAAATGTCGAAGAATTCCTTTAAAACCTTCAAAATGATATCGGATAGATCCAAAGATTCTGGTTTTATACTGTAAAGTGATGCAGGGATCAGCTGCGGGACCCCTGACCTTTTAGCGTTGAAATTGGTTGTCACAGCAACTCTGACTGCAAATCTATTATGTGAAGGCTAATGTTGCTTTAAATCTTCTTTTCTCCTTCTTTCGCTGCTGGTTAAGGCAGTATTTGGCAGTTGTGTCTTTGTTTTATTGAACAGACATCACTGATAAGATTTCACAATGTTAGAAGCACAGTATTAAATGTGAAACCACTCCTAGCAAACTAGAGCATCAGCAAGCCTCATGTGCGATTATCAGCAAAGACGGGAGCAGTGAGAGAAGGATAAAGAAGATTTAAAGGGTGAATACAGGGGGCAACATCTGGCTCTCTGTGTATTCAGATTCCCTGGTCACCCATTCATTTTGTGTCTCTGAATCATTTATGAGTACAGATACACACAATCGCTGACTCAAACTCTGCTGCTCTTAGCTAAAGTGGTTGTAGAACCCAGGGGATTTCATTTTTTCAGAGAGAGATGTTTTTGTTCTGTACTTACTGGAAACCAGTTTAATGGAAGAGAGAATAAACTTGTCACCCTACCGCTAGAAGGTAATATCTACATAATTAGTATATGCTGTATATTTTCCCAAAACAATTTTTCTGCAGATGAACTAAAACAATCTGTTCATTTCCCTGGTGTCAATGCCTCCTGATAAAACTCTCTGAAGCCTCATAAGATATGACTCAGTGGTGCAACAACTCTAACACCAGAAGAACAGTAAGCCATCCTTCCATCCATCCATTTTCTTCTGCTTATCTGAGATTGGGTTGTGGTAGCAACAGGTTCAGCAAGGTAATCCAGATGTCCGACATTTTCCAGCTCCTCTGGCGGGATTCCGAGGCATTCCCAGGCCAGATGAAATTTACAATCTCTTCAGCATGTTCTGGGTCTGCCCCAGGGTCTCCCACCAGCTAGACATGCCCAGAACCACCTCAACTGGCTCCTTTCACTGTGAAGGGGCAGCAGTTCTACTCCGAGCCCTTCCTGAATGACCGAACTCTGCACCGTCTCCAAGTCTAAGTCCAGCCACCCTGCTAAGGAAACTCAGTTCGGCCACATGCACTCGCAATTTTATTCTTTCAGTCACTACCCACAGCTTGACTGTAGGTGAGGGTTGGATTCTAAAATGACACTTATTTCTGGTTATCTTTACTTAAACCAAGATACTGAAGCTGTGCATGTTTAAAGATAGAAGAAACTAAGCATTACACCTGAAATGATGGTAACAATATGATGGTTTTCTATCTGCTGCTTCTCTCTCTATTAGTTAGAATCTCAGTGATTGATGACAGGGGAACTGGGCTGTAATTCATCTCTCAGGTAGCAAGCCAAAGAAGCTGTAAATCTGACAGCATAACCACTGTGTTTTACAAGGCAGAATGACAAATTTATATACAAGGAGATGGTGATGTACAGTAGATTGAAACAGGGTTTGATTTAAGACTGGCTACGTTTTTATAGGTGTTCCTGCATGGTAGGGCACAAGGCCGTACAGATATTTTGCCAACAGGAGGGGGAGGAAGTAGAGAATACAAACAGACATGAGTATAGCACTACAGTCAGGTCCAGATTTGACTGCTGAGAAGTTTTCATTGCTATTTTCTCTTACCATTTCAGTAGAAGTAACATAAAATCAAAAGGCCGTTCATGTTTGAGTCACCCCATTTCTGGTTGATTTATGACACTGAGTGCTTTAACAGGTGTTCTGCAAGGGGGGGGGGGGAATTCTGTTAAAACACAAAGTCCTACACCTGCCTATATCTCCTTGAGTCATAATAAAACCAGTTGCAGAATCACTTCAACTTAAACCTAATGCAGTGATAAGTGTAGGCTGAACTGTGACCAACCTTTTACTATACATCAGTCATCAAAGTAGGGCAGAACACATTAAAAATAACTGAACTTTAACAGACTGCATTTACAGTAGTACAGTATGTTCAGCAAGCTGACCTCTTTGGGCTCGCTGCTGACAGGTCCCAGCATTAGAGAGTATAGGACATCTTTCCCTCCCAGGAACAGGCGGTCACGGTACTCATCCAGGAAGACAGCGGTAAGAGAGAGCTGGCCGTGATGACCGCTGAAGACAGATGACCTGTTGGTGGACAGCAGGTCTGCAGAGAGAGAACAGGATGAGCAATGGCATCCAAAACAATCACGCAGGAAAGATGAAAGAAGACAATGAGGTGGAAAATAAAAGCAGAATGTGGTAGGGAGGAGATGAAGGAAGAGAGTCAAAGATAAATAAAAGTGAGTTTTATTTTCACAGACTTTCCCATTAAGCAAGGAAGTATAACATTCAAGACAAAGCTGACTAAAAATCTAATGCATGAGGAACTATGCACCGTAAGAAAGAAGACACAGAATATCCAGAAACAATATCATTACAGCAAATTACCCTGATTTGCTTAGAACTAAAGCTTCCAAAGGTTTCTTGGAATTTAAGAGTGTTATGTGAGACCATTTCCTCATCCCATGTGGAGATGATCAGCTTTGCTTTGCGTCAGCCGCACCTGGTTGGTGCTGAAATACCCACCCACCTAATGCAGTTTTTAGTTTAGAAGTGTCCAGGAAACAATTATTGCACTTGCACAGTATGATGAAAACTTGGAAATGGATTGTCTTTAACCTCCTGTGCTCACAACAGACTGATCTAATGTCACCACACATGTATGACTAATAACATATTCACAATAGCTGCAATCCAATTGCTAACGTTCATGCTGGCTCACTGAGCTATTCCCAAACAATCCGCTCATATTTTTTTATAATATGATATTTTTCAAAATGTCTCCTTTAGTGTTACACCCCTGAGCTTCTTGTCATACAATGTTTTGATGTCTCATATTGGAATCCAGCAGTAAGGTTGCCTGTCGTTCCACTGTATTTGCCTCCAGAAACACTGTTGCTGCCATCAGCACATCATTCCTGCACAATAAAGGATGTTACCAGAAAAGGTCTATGGTACCAATCAATCACTGAGCCTCAAAACAGCAAAAGTAGGTACATCCAGTATATCCAAATGGCACACTCAGCACAACTATTTGAATCCACATGCCACACATTCCCATATAAGTAAAGGTGTAAGTGTGGAGTCTGTACAGGCCAGGCTGCACCTGGCTTTGCTCTCTGATCTGAAAGCAGCTTCAAAGTCAAAAGGTTGATGCAGCCACTCTGCAGGATTAGTAGATTAGGTTGAATTCAAGTTTCGCTAGATGTGAAGTGTCTCCTCTCTCTCCTTTATACACACACACACACACACACACACAGTAGTATTGATGCATAAACACAACTCCTAACCCACTGCTTTTCATCCTCTCAGTGTTCCAGCTTCCAGTTTCTCACACAGACATCTCTCCTTTTTTGTCTTGTGTCTTCTTCAGTATCTCTTTGCTCCTCTCTCTGACTAGGTAACAAGGCAAGCAGAGAAATGTATGTGAGGAGATAAATGTCTATGAAAGAGTCTTTCAGTTGAATCAGCTTTCTGTCTCCACTCATCTCTTCACATTTGTTATTTCTCTTCGTTTCTTGCTCTGTCCACACAGGCGTGGTGAGAAAGTTTCCTCAGTCACTCGCCACTCAGTGAGTACTGACTCAGTGAAGCACAGGGACTCCTAGTGATGCCTTTTACATCACTGGAAACCGTGAAGATGCATGTGTAAGTGCGCACACACATACACACAGTTGATCTGCTACACCCTGGACAGGTCACCAGTCACTATAAGGATTACTTTTCTCCATTAATTAGTCACTTATGTTTTAGATTAATCTGAATTTAAACTAATATCAGAAAACTGTCCATTACATTTCTCAGACTCCGAGGTAACATCTTGAAAGTGCTCAAAGAGATTCAACTTAAAGCAGTATAGAGAGAAAAGTGCCAAGTCTTCACCTCTGAAAACCTTCAGCTAGAGACTGTTTTATTAAATCAACTTAGCTTCACCCTAGATGCACAAATGAATTTATTATGTTCTGTTAAATCAACTTAGCGTCACCCTAGATGCACAAATGAATTTATTGATGTTTGCTCTTTGGCCTGCAGGCGTACACATACATACAGTCTACACATATTCAAATACCCTAGGGTTCCCTCCTTACCAGTGTAGAAGAAACCTTCACTGCACCAACAGCACATTTTGTTGGGTTTTCTTTCTGCTGCATACATATTTGTCAGGTTTGAAAGCAGCCAAATAAAAACCAGGCGAAACCAGCAACTCTGATGAAACACCAGTCTCTGTTGAGGCCACCCAACACTTTGGCCTGTTGAAGGGGAAGCAGCTGGCAGGAGAAGAGCAACAAGACCCACAAGGAGGAAGGCATCAGAGATTTACTGCAGAGAGGGAGTCAGAGAAAGAAGGATAAAGTTGGAAAGAGAAGGAAGGGAAATGTGTGGCCTCTGGCAGCTGGTAAGACTCAGAAAATACTGTGTAGGAAAAGAGATGGGCAGAGAAAGCCCAAGACAGTGTAGTTATGTCTGATGGATATATTGTCAAGGCAAGAAGGAAAAAACCAGGACAGCAGAAAGAAAGAAAAGCTTTACAACTGTGCTAGAGATACAGTATGTGCCATGTGCATATTTTGCATATGTTCACTATTATGGCTTTTGAAAACTAATGTAAAATGTTTGTGCAATTTATTATAAAAAGCATAGAAGCTGCGATTTAACACACTGTATATAAACACTAACTAATTTAACCACCTTTGCACAAAGGAAACATCAACACTAACTCGTCAGAAGGTCTAATCTGTGTTTTCATTATGCATTTTATCAGCAGAACATGGAGGCAGCTCTGTACATCTTCAGCTGACGATTGTCTGTCTCCACAAGTTCATTTCTTTCCCCATATACAGATGACCTCTGGCTGAAGAGCAACTCTGAACGCCAAGAAAGTGTGTGGGGGATTTGTGTACATGTGATAGAAAGAACATATGGTTCTGCATGTATGCGTCAGTGTGTCTGTGTGTACTGAGACCTTTAATAGATAATGGAGGTGTTACATCAGGGCTTAATGTTGGCTGCACACTGCTTTGTTTGACAGTAGAGATTTCAGTAGATCATTATTGTCAGAGCATAGTTGTCAAATGTTTCATGAGTCACGTGTATTTAAATACAAATTACTTGAGGGTGTACTAAAACTATCTGACCCCCACTAAATGAAATATAGTAGATTTACCACACTTCTCAAAAATTTCAGAATAAAAAGAAACAAGAGAAAAAGCAAATTTGTAATCAAATGCAGGGGGTATCAAGCAGTGAAGAAGTTTACTGTGAAACCACACTGTCCTTTTTCTGATCTTATAATGGCTAAGGTTTGGTTAAGTTTACACACAAAACTACTTGGCTTTTTTGATTGGGAAAAGACTTGGTTTAAGTCAAACCAAGAATGTTTACTATTGTGGTTACATTAATAAACACTAGGTTAAGTTTAGGGTTTAAAGAAACCAGCACTAATCGTTGGCAGGAAACAAAGAATTGTGGATGATAATTTTCTGAACTTTCATCCAATTTCAAATGGCCAGTTTCCTGAACTTTCATCCATAAATGGAGTAAATACTTATGTTTCTTAGCTTCATTGTCTTTGTAGAGTATAAATTTGTTTCAAGTACTTTCCCCTTCACATACACAAACTCACAATTGCACTCAGGCCTGAGTCGGATCCCTGTTTGATGTCTCTTTCTCTTCTTCCTTGAAGAGATAAAAACCCAATCTTTGTATCTTATAAATCCCTCATAAGTATACACAAATCCCCCTCAAATAACAACAAAAATGTAAGCACATAAATACCACAGGCATACAAACATGCACTAATACACAGACACAAACACGGAGGGGAAAGCTGAGCAAACACTGTCCATCTGTGGCTTGTTATCACTCCAGCAGCTCATCAGCTCACTGTGGAAATCACACCGGCATCCCACCTCTCACCAGCCTCTTTCTCCTGCTGTCTATCCATCTTCACCTACCTGTTTAACCTCTCTCTCCCTCATACTCGATTCACCCTTCTTTCACTTCCTCTCTGGTGTCATTTTTCCTCTCTTGTCATTACTTCTGTGCATTCAGTTTCATCTCTCATGCCTGTCCATCTGTCTGCCAAGTCTCTCTACGCTTTGCTACTTGACCATCTCCTCCTTCTCTTCCATCCTGTGTCTGAAGACCCTGTGCATCTACATAATCACTGACGACACCTGTCTCCAGTGTGTATTAAAGGCAGCCAGCCAACATGCGCTGACAAACAGCAGCCGTGCCAAACTGAGGAAACACACGAAAGAACATCTGGTTTCACTGTGCATGTCAGACGTCAGCTATCACATCACATAGTCCCACCCAGTGCAAACATATGTGTGCACAAATTTATTCAGAGATTTATTTACATTGTCAGTGTTCCACTTAGTTGGGCTGAGATGTGCCAATGTGTCTGTCAAATCTTACACAATGATCTGGGAGCTTGTATGGTGCTTTCATCACCCGAGGACCAACGGAATATAATCAGAAGTTCTGATTAAAGATAAAAAGAAAGATCTAGTGTGATGAAACTGAGGACAGCATTAATCTGTCTTGGTCTGTGTCAGTTTCCCGCTGGTACCCTGGCTACCTCCAACAGTCCCAAGTCCAAAATTAGGGCATTTGGCAACTCTATATTGCATATAGATGTGAATGTCTGTCTTTATGTGTCCATGGTGTACCCTGCCTCTTGTCCATTGAAGTTCTAGTATTTACACTAAGCTGCGCTAATCACCTGCTGCGTCTGGCTCCACAGTTTGCATAAAGATATGAGAGTGGTGTCAGTGTGGCTTTGTCGTCTTTCTAAATCAGTGTGTCTATAGGGGTTAGACTGCATAATGCACTGTTCGATATGAATAGTGGAGAACACACAATATCATCTATGGCATTGTTATTGTCTCCAGCTCCCTCTAAACAGGCACCTTTTGTCATTTAACAGCCACAATACTAAATTTCTGTTATTTTCATAATGAAGTGTACAATACAGTGACAAAAAAACAAACAAACATAAGAACAGGTCTGAAAACAAGAGTAAATGTGGGCTTGAGAATCAGACAAAAATACATTCATACAAAAAAAATACATACTGCAGCTGTCAAAGCTCACTGTCAG